ATAAAAAATAACTGTTAGAAACACTAAGGGTCTCAGTTGAAGGTAACTTGATATATTTCATTTAACTTAGAAGCAGTTATCTTAAAGTAACCAAAACAACAAAACCAGAATTTCATGGTTTGTTTTTTTCATGAGCTGTTGCATTGTTCTTAGATGCCTGTAATGGTTAACATGGATGAATATTGGAAAACCATGTTGATTCCTGTATTTGCCTGATTTAAAGCTCCTATTCCTGAGAAAACCCCATTATGCCTCATTCCTTATCAAAAGGATGAATTTATAGTTCAAGAATGATTAATGAAATAATTTGAAATAATTAACAAAGATCTTGCTGAGCAAAGTGAGTAACACTGAAACAACAACCTCCTGTACGGAAGGCATCTCTCAGATCATCATAGAGACAGAACAGATTACTTGGCAGGCAGCATAGATCAGCTGCACTCCACCTTTTCATCAATCTTGAAAATTTATTATTATAAAAATGTTAAACTTTTTGGGGAAAAAAGGTCACTTAACAGTAGCCACAGCTGTTTGCTATATGTGGTATGTATGCACTTTGGCTCTTTAGAGGTCCAAATGTCAGAGGTATCCAAGATCATAAAACACAGGGGTTTTTTGGCCCTCACAATATACAAACACCTGAATTTAAACAACCTGATGTGAAACATGACCAAGGTTTCTGTGCTTATAAGTTAACACAGCCTAAGCACATAGTCTTGACCCATTAATCCAGCAGTCCATGGTAGTTGCAGTCCATGTGTAACTGAAGTTAACTTGCATTCAAACAGACTATGGCACAAAGAGGAAACAAGGACAGGAATCCCGAGAAAATCACGTTCTGAGGACAGCCCCTCCAAAACAGTGCTCCAATTAAAATTTAAAAAGACACATACTGGCTATGGAAAGACAGCTAAATACCCATCAAAGATTTCAAAAACCTTGCTAGGGCATGCAGAGATGTGGTTGGGAATGCTAAGATTCAGACAGAACTAAAATTGGCCAAAGATGTCAAGAGTAACAAGAAAGGTTTCTACAGATATGTGGGTAGTAAGCAGAAGCACAGGGAAGACACAGAGCCATTGCCTAACTAGGCAGGGAAACCACTCACTAGTCATGCTGGTAAGGCAGAGGTTCTCAGTATCTTTACATCCACCTTTACCAGCATAGCTGGACCACAGAGCACTGGATCAAGTATCTACAACAATAATGTGTCAACCCACTAGAAGGTGAACAGCTGGTCTGCAGCCTCAGAAATCCACAGGCTCAGAAGAAATCCACCCTAGAATATTAAGGGAAACAGCTGATACTGGTGCAAGGCCACTCTCTTTAAGAAGCCTTGACAATCTTGATGTAATAGACACTTCTTGTGCTGAGAGCAGTCAATCACTGCAAGATGCGATTGGACAGGGTACTAGATAGTTTCTTCTGGGGTCCTGTTCCTATGCAAGGTTGGAATGAAAGATCTTTCGAGGTCCTTCCAAGCAATAAAGATGGGATTCAGTTGCTAAAAATTTACATCTGTAGATACACTGATATTTTCTCAGCTGTTTCCAAAGCTGGACAGTACCACATGAGAGGCTGCATCAGCTGAACTTTTTGGTCAGCTGTAAATGAAGAACTGCATATCACACCTGAGGCTCAAGCTATGGAGTGAAAATTTTCTTCAAGGATGCGGGAGAGATTTGCACAGTGTACTGCATTACAAAGGAAAGCAGGTTTTTATTTCCATCTTACTATTACCTGGTTTCATAAATCTGGAGAATATTAAAACTCTTCCAAGAGTAGTGGAATGCCTGGAAAACTACTTCAAATATATTCAGGAGTAATATGGTGTCTGTTTCCTTTAAACTTTTAATGTAGAGAACTGTAAATCTCCTGTGCCTGCTAGGGCCAGAAGTGGGTTAGGGATAGCAAGGGACTAGAAAGCAGAGTCAGAATTTCTGAGGAGAGCTGAAGAATGACCGACATCCCACCTGCAACTCAGTCCTACAGATCAAAAATGGGCCTCTAACCCATTCAGAGAGAACAAGCATAGCAGGTTGGCAGCAAGTCTTTCATATTTCCATAAACTCTGCTGAGATGCACACCTCCTGAGGCACAGGATAGTCATCTTCACACACCACTCCAGGAAACACAGATAAAGAATTTGAACCCTACAATCTTCAAAAGGTGTAACATGAGAAGAGCTCAGCTGCCATGGCCAGTTCCAACACAGAAAGTTGTCTTCAGCAAGCCAGAAAGTGCCATGGCACAGCAAAGGCCCATACACGTTGTTTCATGCCATCAGGGGTCCTCAACACTAAGTGCTTTGATCTGTGGGATTAGATATGACCAACTGTGTAGTATGGTCCTCCACAACATTCTTCTTTCTGAACTGGAGAGATGGATTTGAAGGGTACACTGTTAGATGAGTAAGAAAAGCAGATGGATGGTCGCAGCCAGAGGCTGGCTCAGATTCAATGGCTCAGAATGCCTAGGGACATCAGTGACAGGTGGGACCCATATCAGTGTTACTTATTATCTTCATTAATGACATAGATGAAGAGATCCAGTGCAGCCTCAGCAGATTTGCTGATGACACCAAGCTGAGTGGTGTGGTTGACACACCTGAAGGATGGATGGGATGCCATCCAGAGGGACCTGGACAAGCTGGTGAAATGGGTCTGTGGGAATCTCATGAGGTTATACAAGACCAAGTGCAAGGTGCTGCACCTGTGTCAGGGCAACCCCTGGTACCAATCCAGGCTGGGGGATGAACAGATGGAGAGCAGCCCTGGGAGAAGGACTTGGAGTGCAGGTGGGTGAGTGTTACCGCTGAAGATGAATAGATCACGTGGACACAGGTCGGGGTGTGGTGAAAGAAAGAGCCGAGTTTATTTTTCCTCCCAGGATTTATAGGCTTTTGGCCACGGCCAGGGATTGGATGGTCAGGATAACACTTTCTCACTGCACTGGCCATGAGCGATGCCCATCACAAGACGTGTAACAGAAAGAATGTACACAAATCTATGTTTACAGTTACTGTCCTGGGAAAGTCCTTAGAAAACTATGTTAGCAAGCTCAGAAGCTGAGTTTTCAGGGCAACAGGTGAGAGGCTGGACACGAGCCAGCCATGGGCACTCACAGCCCAGAACACCAAACGTGTCCTGGGCTGCATCCAAAGCAGCGTGGGCAGCAGGGCCAGGGAGGGGATTCTGCCCCTCTGCTCTGCTCAGACCCCACCTGCAGGGCTGCATCAGCTCTGGGGTCCCAGCACAGGAAGGACATGGACCTGCTGGAGAGAGTCCAGAGAAGGGACACCAAGATGATCAGAGGGATGGAGCACCTCTCTTGTTAAGAAAGGCTGAGAGAACTGGGATTGTGCAACCTGGAGAAGGCTTAGGGTGACCTAACTGCAGCCGTCCAGTACCTGAAGGGAGCCCAGAAAAAAGATGGAGAGGGACTTTTTAATTAAAAAGAGCATGTAGTGACAGGGGGAATGGCTTCCAACTGAAAGAGAGCAGGTTTAGATATTGGTAAGATATTGGCAAGAAATTCTTCACTGTGAGGATGGTGAGGGACTGGAACAGGTTATCCAGAGAAGCTGTGAATGCCCCATTCCTGGAAGCATTCAAGGCAAGGTTGAGTGGGGCTCTGAGCAACTGGTCTAGTGGAAGCTGTCCCCATTCACACATAGCTGAACTAGATGATCTTTAAGGCCTCTTTCAACCCCAACCATCATCTGATTCTGTGGTTCTATGATACAGTCTCCAATTATGGAGCTTTGGTAGAGGAAGATCCAAGCAGCTCAGTTAGCAGAATTGAGAAGAACACAGAAATTCAGTGTCAGAGGCAGTTCTCAGGTTTTTTGTCTGGTGACAATCCTCAGGTCCTGAGAAAAACTCCAGAACTCAAGCACTTTAGAACCCAAGCCTCATCCAGTAGTCTCTTGGTATTACGGTGGCCTTGGAACTGCCACTGCAGAGAGGGCAAAAGCCTCCATTTAGTCTGACCTTCCAGCTAAGCAATGTCTGGTGCAACCATGTGTTTCTTGATTGGGTGAGGCTCTTCCTCACTCAGTTTTGCCAGAGAAAGAAAGGTGTGATACTAAATAGAACTCATCTTTGACCCAAGATTCAGAAAATCCTAAATGTTAATGTCTGAAGAAGACCATCACTTTCACTGAGACACTTCTCTCATTTTAAGCAACAGGAAATGCCAGCGATGTGTAACTTGCAAAAGGAAGCAAGAAACAACTGTATGTCAGTGGTACTTGTCAAGTGAGTCCCATCCTCAAGATAGAAGAACATTTAAACTCATCCTTAGGTGGACCTATGGAGTATGATTCAGGCAACATGTATAGAGTACCTAGATCCATTTCCAATGAGGAAAGGAAAAGCAGCAGAGGCTATGCTCCCAATATGGAAGGACACTGGATTTGACAAACTCAAATTTAAAAAGTAATCATACAGGACTGGTTAGAAAAGAGAATTACATGACCAAGGGCTAGCCATAACAAAAAATAAAGACGTGAACAAAAGTTAAGAGGCATCTAGAATGCCTCCATCACTGAGCACTGATTATGAGGGAGGGAGAGGTAGGGTGAAAGCTCTGAGACCAGAAAAAGCAGGAATATGCTGCCTTTGAATGCCTGCAGTATACACTTCTCTGTTAGTTTTTCACAGTATAGAACAGCTGATGTCTACCACATTATTGCTACAATACAGTATTCTGCTGCATCTGCAAAACAGACACTACTGACTCTTTGCTGCTTCTCTTTTGATCAACTGCATCAATGTTTACATCAGAATATTTTAAAATGTGAATGCCCTCTACTTTCCCTGCACTTGTAATGGTATCCAGTGTTTAATTCAGCAAGAAACAAATCTCTCTTCAAAACAATGGCCAAAACTAAATTTGGTCTTGTCTGCATGGAAACTGGACTTTTCAGGATCTTTTGATTATGTATTTGCGATTTGATACATGAAAAAGAACTAGTAGCAAAACAATGAAAACAAAACTCAGAGAGGAAAGTTAATTTATTTGTCTAAAGCATCAAACTAAATTGAGATACCTTAGTTCAGTCAAAGCATCTTCAATTTCCTCATAAGCCTGAGCTTCATAAACAAATATTCCAAGTCCGTCTACCTACAAAAATAGGATGGACAATTCTTGATTTTCTTCAGATATCAAGATAATTTACAAGTCCTTGAAGACAGACGAAGAACAGCAAGTGATCCTATATCCTACTACACTCCACCATGTTTCCCAAGTGTACTGGAAAGGAGGAATATGAGCCTTCTTTGGAAAGGTGCGTTGGAAGTCTTATGACCATCTCTTGGAGACAGGGTATGCATTTACATCACCATGATTGCCATGGTACAGAATCCTTGACTGCTACTTTTACATGCCATGACCTATGATCTGAGAGTTGTAGTCTGCTGTCTCCATTCGCAGAATGTATGGGATGATGCTGTCAATCTGAACATTTCCAATTAGTCCTGCGAAGAACAGCTCTTCAGTGATGGCAGCACTCATCAGCCTAAGAGCAGGCAATCGGAGAAGAAGTCTAGACAGTCTGGAAAATAAGTTTGATGAAATGTATTACTTAGCAGATCACAGATTTTGGTATTGTTCTCCATGATGTTATTAGTAAAAGAAGAGAGAAAACTGACAAGGGACATTACTGGTCAAAGTTTGGTATATCTAGTTCTTGAAAGGCTTAAATATTTTAATCAGTACAGCATTAAATTTATGTTTAGTCATGTCTGGAACAGTACAGAAAATACGTGAATGCCTACCAACTACACGTACTATGTATGTTTAGATTTAAGACTAATTGAGGAAATATTCCAAATAGATGCAATTCAAATTAAATGCTACTAATATTTATTTCTGATAGTTAATTTTAGAAATTAATGAGATGAATAATAGTACTCATAATATGTATTAACACATGCATAATATTTGAAGTGTTCTAAAGGTAATTTCTTAACTTTAGGGCAGTAAGAAGAAAATGTATGTATCTATTACATGGAAAACTGTACAAATCAGTGACTCTGAAAAGAGAATCAATCAAGTCGGCACCTAAGTTTACAGACCTGTAAGTATCATCCGGATACGCCTTTGTTACGTAGTCTTGGAACTCCATGTAAGCTTTTTCTTGAAATTTCTCAATCTGTACCACATTTTCTAGACCTGGGTGATCTGAAAAAAAACCCTCCTCTTCGTTATACCTGTTCTACAGAAAATTAACTAAAATCCATATAGACTATCCAGCTGTCAACATACTGAAATCATCATATAGTAGCTGCAGCAACTTCAGTTTTAATGGTAACCACTACTTTACCTCCTTATATTTCTCTTTTACATTTATATTTTACTTGATTTTCCATAAATATGATCAGACATTTCAAATAAATTCAGTGCTTGCAATGTTTACATTAATCTTGATGACACAACTATTCTCTGTGTAGCAGTAAAACAAGATTGTTTCAACACACTGACATTTTCTGCAACACTGGATGCACAGATATAGGTGAAAAGTGAAGGATAAAATTAAGATCAGTGGAAGAAGCAGAATAAAAAGCTGTGAACTGTTTCCTAAGACACACAGAAAACAGCACTGAATCATAGAATATGCTGAATTTGACCCATCAGTATCATCGAGCCCAACTCCTGGGCCTGCACAGGACACGCCAAGAATCACACCATGTGCCTGAGAGTGTTGTCCAAATGCTTTTTGAATTCAGATAGGCTTGTATGTAGCAGATTGTTCTTTTTCAGCTATTTGGTACAAAAATTTCAAATGTGCTAATCATGATTTTTAGCAGTGATTTGAACTTAATTGAAATGTAAGTGTTGCTAAAATGAAAGGACATCAACCTAACTGCCAAGTCACTCTTGGAAATTATTATCCAGTAATTCTGAACTCTCTATGTGGTCTGTAATTTTATTATCCATCTATCTGAATAGAAAAATTTTACTTTCACACCAGCATGACAAATCATGTCAATGAAGAGTTAGAGTTGATGTCCAAAATGCATCACTTCATGCTGCTGCTTTTAGAGCCATGTCAGGAACACAGCAATAAATCAGCTCCTGGAAACAGTAGTTTGAAGACCACTGCTTGTACACTTGCAGCCATTCAGAAAGATGTCAAGTCTTCTTGGCACACCCTGTACACTAATCTCTTTGCCCAAGGCTGTCTTGTGGCAATCAAACAGCTGGCTTGGCACAGCTGGATCACCTAAATGTGAGAGTAAAAAATTCTTGAAGATAGAGGAAGTACTCAAGATTTGTACATTTTTCTTTCATCGGAAGACCTGGTTTTGGCTTTGTATTAAGTCCCAATTCTGAATGATGAATCTAAGGTCTGCTGGATACTGATACAATACCCGAATGCCTTTTGTGAAAAGTTAATTCTACAACTTTCAAATGAAGAAAATTAATTTTGTAACTTTCTACAGTCCAGGCATATGGGTACAATGTTACTACTCAGTAAATATCTACCATAACCAGAGGACTCCTTGCTCCCTATTGTAAACTAATCACCCAGAAGGGAAATAAAGTTATATTACCTTCACTGTCTAATGTATGTCTAGTAATGCTACTGAAAGTACATTCAGCAAATACTATTTAGGAGACAGAAATAATAATGTAAGTGAATGTCTGTGGAGTTCATTCACCAGGATGCTATATGCTTTGTCTGTGTGGAGGGAGGTGATGTTTCTCTACTTCTGAATGTGAGAACTGATGCCCACATAGTCTTTATATATTAAAATCCCAACTTCAATCCATCCCGCCTGGATGTGCAAAAGCAATACTTCAGAAAATTAAACTGCAGGTCTTCAGAAAATGTACCCCAGAAAGGAGACACAGAATTAAAAGCAATAAATAAATAAATGAGAAGAAAAAAAAAAAAAAAACAAAACCCAAATCAACACAAAAAACCAAGTATGAGTGGCACAGCCAAAATAAAAATCTGCTAATAAAAAGAATCAGTGTCCCCCCACAAAAAAACCCCACAGCAACATTCAGCTGTTTACATTAAAAAATTAACCCTCCTCTTCCTGCAGTCCTTACACACCTTCCAAGACTCTTCAGCAAATGAGGCAGTATATATAATATTTTATATATAATATTATATATTATATTGCATATAATGAAACAGTTATATGGCAACAAATAGCACAGGTTAAAATTTTACATTTGGAATGATTACATACCAGGACTAAAGAGGACAATTGCTTTCAAATATGCATATTCATATCCATCTAGACACAGCTTAACCATGCTGTTACAAAACTCTTGCAATTTGAAGACATGTTCCATTACTAGTCTTCCTCTGTCTGTTGGCAGCTTATCTAAATAAAGACACACAAAAAAAAAAATCCCAAGTTCACACATGCAAAAAACATGGTCATACTGGAATTTTAAAAATAATTTTTTTATTAGACACAAACAATGTGAAATCTATGCCATCTATAAATTCCTATTAGGTCTGAATAATCCTGACACCAACAATTATGGAATATTAACATTCTTTTTCACCTCTTCCAGTTAGGGCTTTTCCTGCCACTAATGCTTCCAGTAATCAGGCATGGACTGGAGCTTGATATGATCAAGGAAGGAAGAGATTTTATAAGTAAAGCATACACTGCTACTGCTGACCTGTGCTCTGTGTCTAAGGACCAGGTGCCACATGGTAGGACAGTGTACATCTTCATGGGTTATTTCAGTCAGAGACCATGCCACTGCTAGGAAAGGTGTACTATACACCTTCCCTGATTTGCACTGAGGGGAATGTGGTTCGTGCAGAGCTGTTCCCCTTGAGTCAGCAACAGCAAAACACACTGAAAACCATGTTCCCTCCGTAACTCATCAAACTAGAGTCTCCAGACTCCACAAACTTGCTATCTCTTTGAGATACTGCAGCTAGCATACTGCACAACTGGTTCTTACAGCCAACCTGAATTCCCAGTTTAAATGGTAGAAATACATATTCATAATAATGATAAAAACATGACTAATTACTACAATACCCTTTCTGGTAAACATGCTTTAAATATTACATAGACCAAAATTTTCAGGTTCCATTTCCAGGTATCTGCTCTAGAGACAATCACAGATTTGTATCTTTAGCTGATCCAGTACATCTCGTGATTTGATTAATTTGTTTTAAGGTATCACTATTTATAGGAGGATCTTGTGGATGTTTTTAAAACACAAAAAATTCTTGGAAATAGTTATTTAATTACTTTAAAGAAGATGAAAATCTATAGTCTGGTAGGCTGTTTTTTTCCAGTTTGCTAATCAGCATTTGCATAGCATCAACAACAGTGAATTTTTATATTCCTAATAGCAAACAACTCAAAAATTTAGTTAAATCTGAAAATGCTTAGATATTTGTATGTGCATCTACCTTATGAATAATGTGCTATGACTATGAACAGATGAAGACTATACTATTATTGACTGGTTAGCTTTTAGTTAACTGACAACCTTGTATCCACAAGCACACAAAGCTTAGCTAAAAGACTCCACCTCCTGCTTAGAAGGATAGAATTAAAGAGGCCAACTGACATGTCTTTCATTTGAATGAAAAATGTGCCAAAGATGCAGGACATGGGATTAACAAGGAACAAAGTGTACCTAGGGGAGATCTGTTGAAGGCTTCCATGTAGACTAAAAGTCAACAAGCCAAGTTATGTATCACCACCTTGGCATTCAGCTGCTTTGTGTCACAGCCATGAAGAACAAGGACAGGTGAGTCATTCTTTACTTTGTATCCTTCATACAGAGGAATCATATTCACAATACTCTTGTGTTCTTAATGTTGATACTGCTCAAAATATTCCTAATTTGGGCTAGTGGTATTAACAGACAGCAGAACACTATTATACATTATAACATATAAAAATAAAAATAATGGGTTTTTTCATTTGAAGGTAAATATTAGCATAGCTGACTTTTGCAAAATTGCTAAAAAATTCTATCTTGTGGACTGTAGTTGCTAGTATCATTTTGTTTCAATACTAACATGAAATTCTTTAAACAATAAATTTATAATAACAACTGAAGGACAAATAAAGAGCTTCTGTGCACTTCAAAAACTTAAAACCATCAAGTAATTCCCCAAGTCTGGCATGTGCACAGCGTACACCTTACCTTGTTGTAAACTGCCTTGAAGGTGATTAACAAAAGCAGCTAAGATCGTTGCCACATTCATAACTTGTGAGCATTGTGCTAGACCAAGCGTAAAAAGTTCATTCCAGCAGGCTTTTACTAATGATATGCTGTTATCCTGTCTATTAAAAAGCACAATAATTTAATAAAACAGCCATTTGCATTTATACTTTTTTTAAATTTGAAGAAGACGTCATAAAACATTAATCTAATTAAATCATTACAACCAACACCAAAATGAAGTTCTGCATAACTTTTCTTTGCCTGCTAAAATTAAAATATCTGGTTTAAAGTGACTTTTGTAAAGCAATACATTTTTGTTTAAATTACCTTAAAGGAGACAGATTTCTATTACAAAAGTAAGCTGAGGTTACAGTAAATGACAGCTGTCACAGTGTATTGCATCATGCTAATTTTCTTAGCATTTGGGACAACATTTATATACATGGAAAAAAAAATATTGCACTGCTGCTGTATTGTGGATATAGAACAGACTCAGGAGTCTTTTTCTTTTTTTTACTTGAAAATTGACAGGTTGGTATAATTTTTTAATGAAAGATATGGGTGAAATCGAACATGTGATCAAGTTTCTGAGCTTGCTGACTGCTACTTTCTGCATCCTTTTCAAGTTTGGAATAAGGTTTGAAATATAGACTTCAAAGTACAAACACCAGTTGTAAGGATTTCTTTGCTTAAATTTTAATTTCGTAGCTTAAAATTAAATGTATCAATTCATATTCAGTCACTTCCATAGTAATAACCTAATTTTCAGTAATGCCAAGCATCTCTAACTAAAGGCATCTCTAACTCAGAGCTCAACAAGAGCTCTGTACCTCAGAAAGCAAATCCCACCAGAAAGGAGTCAAATTCCGGTACCACGTTTCAGTTTTACCCAGTGAATAATGAAAATTTAAAAGAAGTACAAGATCTATCAAAGAAGAAAAGCATATTAAAGCTAGGATTTCAACCACAAAAATACAGTGGAATGGATTTTTGCAAGAATGTTGATACAATCTTCAAGAACAGTTCTGATGATTTAGTGCAATACAAAGATGCCAAATGGCAGGTGTACACAGACATGTCCTTAATGGGATTATTGAGAGCTTACTGAAGTAATATTATTTTTCATTAGGATCAAGTTCTTGTTATGGTAAACATGATACTGTAAATGCAGATTCTGCATATATTTGTCACATCTTTGCTCATCTCCTTTAACATAATCAAAGGGCTATGCTGAGCACCACTGAAAACAGGGCATACTAGCTACTCCTCTGATACGTGTGTGTAGATAAACATGTCATCTACAGCATCTTTATGGCTGAACAAAGTTACACCAGAGACAGTTCTTAAGTTTGCTTAAGCAGCCTCACAAAACTAAGAGGCTGTAACCAGCTTGGTGACGGTTTCAGTAGGAAACTCTCTTGTGAACAGAGATGCCCATGCAGGAAGATGAACTAATCAGTATCTGGCATCATTAACTACATCATTAGGTCAAAGGCAACTATCCTGCTGTGACTAAAGGAGAATGTTTGCCTGAGAAGAAAACAACCCAGGTACAATTATCCATCTTCCTTATAAAATCATTACTATCGTGCTTCATAAATTTCTCTTCAGTTTAAAAGTGAAATGAGTCACCCTTCTGAAAGTCAAAATTATAGGATATAATGTAATAATGTATAATAATAATGTAATATGTAATAATGTAATCATCCAACTATAAGGGCTGCATTCATTTCAAATAAATCTCCACTTGAAAATAGTTTCCATTTTAAGTGCTTTAAAGGAAAACTGTGAATTTATGTTATTTATTGTACTGTTGCCCATGATCTTTGTTGGGTCTATACATGCTATACAGGTGAATATTAACACTATTGTGGCATCTTACTCCTCCATATTTTTTAATCAGAAAAATATATTGTGAAATAACAGATAAAAAGAGCATGTGCAGACTTTTCTTGTTAAATCTTTTCGAAGAGAGAGGTCTTCTGTACTGCATTTTATTTTCAAGAAATTCCCATTCATTGTTAGAATACCAATTTGTACTAAATTTGCATTGTTTCTCTGTAACAAAAAAACTTTTTAAAACTTAGAATGACATAATGCACTACGTCTATTTGCTATGTATTTTGTAATTCTGCAGGTCAACAATTTCTACCAAAACAAGACATCATATTTACTTATTTTTTTACCCTTACTATTAACTTTACACAATATTCCTTTTTCCTTCCCCAAAACACAGGCTTAATTACACACAATACAATAATTTTCATTAAAAACTGTAGAATCACTTGGCTGAAGCATCTGAGTAAACACAAATGGCAATAATAGATCATCCTGCTTTTGACATCTTTCCTGGAAAAGGGGACAATCCCTCATTTTAAAAGAGGAATTCTCTTTGCTGCCACAGTCACAGGCTATTTTGATATTTAATTAAACAGAAAACACTGTAGATGAGAACAAACTAACATGATTTATTCACCATTTATGTCACAGCTGATAGAGTATCATTTTGTTTGATGTATTTTCATAAAGTTACTTCTAAATATAAAATAAAGCAGTTTTTCCCATGTAGTTTGGACATGTTTTTTTCATGATGATCAGTAATGGACTACAAAAGTGAACTTAAGAATTTTAAGCAATACACTGAATTGTGATGGAGAAGCAGGATGCCCTACAAACTGTAAAAAGAACAGTTAAAATTACTTTTTGGTTACAGGAGTCATTTATTTTTGGGGAACCTTCTGATATTACACAATTTCATTCTGAATGTTTGCTGAATCTAGCTAACCATTTTCTTCATGTAGGTTATTAAAGGCATAATTATTACTAGTAATTCACCTTATAAGGATAAAAATTTTGGGGATTCAGACAGGAGCATCTTTTTGGTGACTGCCCAATAAGCATCAGGATGTAGCATAGAGCTGTAGCTATTAAAAGCTGACAGATATTCCTATTTTCTCAAAATATATTTAAGAAGCAACAGTTTGTGGGTATTTGATTGTTTTAAATCTACTCCTTTTTCTTACAAAACCCAACCCAAGTCCTGAATTTGGACTCAAATTTGGAGTGGTTTTGATTCAGAAAATTTACCTTACAATTAAGATTTATAACCATTTTCATTAGTAGTTTTATGTTTTAGAAGTCCCTGAAGAAGACAGCAAAACCCAAAAATTCAAAAGCACATACCCACAATGTAAGTGTATAAAGTAAACGAACACTTACCCCAAAGCTTGGAAAGATGGAATGGAACGTGCCCAGTGCATGGACAAGAAAAGCAATCTGGAGGCAGACTCGCAGATATAGTGAACATTAAGATAATCAGGCATAGGAGAAGGCATGGTGAGCTGCAAAAAAAAGAAAAAGTAGGATGAAAAAAAGGAGAGAGTGTAAGACAGTTATTTTGTTTTCTTCATAATATGTTTAGGAAGAAATCAGTAATTTGAGTTTCTTTTAAGTGAAAAAATAAAATTGTTCATTCAATAAAAAAGGTATAATCCTGACACAAAACTGAATGCCTGCCTTTTGCATTATTAGCCACACCATTACATGCTGTGTTATATACCTACAAAGCAACAAAAAAGACAAAGTTTGATTCACAGATAAAGGTTCATATCTGGGACAACTGGAAATGGAAAACCTCAAATTTCAACATCTGTGACATTCTCAAAGAATAAGAAAGAAGAATCATAGTAAACTGAAATGAAGTTGCTTACATTAGAGGAGTTACAACTCCGAGAGAGAGAGAGAGAGAGAGAGAGAATTCTATTTCACAAAACATCTTTTTTTTTACTTTTAATTAATATTTTACAAATAAATACATGAGAAATCTTTTGGTGTTTGAGTAAAATACTTAATACACTTGCTGTTCCCAAGTCCAAAAAATATAACCAACATAACTATATCAGAAAGGACCCTTCAAAATGTTAGTAAGTAAAATTAGTGATGTTACATGCATATGTGAAGAATGATTTGACCCAAAATAGCTTAGAACTTGTAATTCTGTCTTCAGAAATTAATACTTTTTAACGTGTTCTGGGTAATGCAGTTAAAAAAAAACCAACCTGAAATTTGCATTAGAGATGTTAATTTGATCAAAACAGATGCTGATAAGAGGGGTAAAGTTTAACCAAATGCCTGTTAGCTACTAAGTTTTCAGATGATGAAGCTTTTTGATTTGTCCATGAAAAATAAGATGATGAAAAAAAATAGATAGAAGGAACTTCTGCAAGCTTATAAAATGAGAAGTAAATCCAGAAAATATATACATCTAAATAACACAGAAATGTATGTAAGTCAATTACTAACATGCTAAAATCGGGTATCTACGCAAAGAAGAGACTGGCAAATACACTTATAATTCTCAAAATCCTGTTGCAGGTTGCATCAGATCCAGCCATTAACAAATGAGAATGTGGATGCTGCCTCTGCTTCATGCAATAAAATGCTGACTCTGCTTCATGCCAATACTTTGTCTATTTAAATCCTTTTGTACAGATTACCCAGTACTTTTAAAGGTAAAAAACTATAAAATAACCAGTGCAGCTCAACCATTGCAGAGCACAGTACTTTCTCCCAAACAAAGAATTAACCAGTGAACAAAAACAGTTCATTAAATGCAAATTAATGCCAATACCTGAACAAATGCTCCTCTAAGAAATTCAAAATAAAATTTAGTCAGATCATTATTGTACATCTCTATGTCAAAATAGTTATGAAGAGTCAACATTAAGAAAGTATTCAGTACCCTGAATGCTACATGAGCATCACTGAGTAGTGGCCCCTCTATTTCAACGATGTTCATGTTTGTTTCTCCACCAAGCATCTGTGCACTGGCATCAACACTTTCAGAGTTCTGGCACGCTGAGCTCTCCCCTGGATTTAATGCTTTTGCAAGAGTATCAAATGCCCTGTAAGATCACAAACAAAAGAAAAATTTCATTTTAGAGATCATTTCAATTTAAGAGGAACCCGCACAAGTCTGAAACCTGTATGTTGAAGTCTGTTTTAAAGAGTGAGATTTGGAAAATAAGTCATCAATAGCATGCTTTTCCTGACATTCCACCAAACTCTGAAACAAAAATTAGCAGCAGATCCTGTTTACACTTGTTGCCAACAAATTCACAGTTTTGACATATTGGTTGTGCTGCTGAATCACAGTTTGCTTTTCAAGATCTCTTTAGTGATGTTCACTGAGAGCGCTGGCGTGAGCATTTTGAGGACAAGATCACCAGACTGCTGTTACAGTCACTTACTGCATGTATAAATTTTACAGGCTTTTAAAGCTATGAAGCACAAACAGAATGAGATTTTTTTTTTGTTAAGTAATGAGTTGTAGTTAAGATTTTTCAAATTAAATTTGAAAAGACTGCTTCAAAATATGTAAGAGAAAGTACTCCCATGCTTTCAATAAAATCCAGTACCCTCTGCTACGTGGCAGTGACTCTTGGCTTTCACAAGCACAAATGCTAGAGGGCAAATGTCAGGACAAGCACAGATATATTTACTCAAAAATACACAGACTTGATTACTGCCTACAGACAGATGACATATCCTGGGAACAGCAACATTTCTATACAGTGTTGCATGCTGAAAAACTTATGCACTGAGGCCTGAAAACTTTACAAAAGCTGATTATCAGCTTGTATATAGAGCTCATTCTCAATTTATAGACATGTTTATTACCACAGAGTCTAAAAATCACTGATTTAATTCCAAAATCTGGGATAGAACTTGGCCACCTTCTCTATCCCCACACTCTCTAGCTATATGAATTCACTAATATGCTAAAAAATTGAGCTGTTTAACATAACTACACACAACCAAATGAAATATCACAGAGCTGTTGAAACTGCCTAAAGGCTTGGGATGGTAAATGAACAATTTTTTGGTCCTAACTAGCCTGTGTGCCTTGATGCGTACACGAGGGTGACTGGGGCATACACAAGTGGACTATACAGACATACCTGGGCCATCTCCTGTCTCTGGTATGTACAAAGTTGGCACAAAGGGAAGGCATTCATGGCTCAGCTCTAGAAACTATACTATGGACTACTGCTAGAACATCTAAGTTTCAGGTCTTCCACAATTCACTCTTTGCAGTCTTAGGTAGAACAGGCAAACACAACAGCTCAGTGACAGCTGCTTTTATGAAACAACAGGATCTCTGCAGGGCTCTTCATGCAGCACGGACAGAAATTTAAGAGAGGAACAAGACTTCCCCTTTCCTCAAAAGGTAAATGTCACATGCATCTGTCACTATCCTGTATTTATTCTAGCACAGGCTGAAAAATCCTTTTTAAATAGCGTGGGCATGTACACTTGTTAACCATGTCTGCCCATGACACTTTTTCCCAACCCATTCTTCAATGTTGCCTTTAAAGAAATCTTCTCCCTCTTATCTCAAACTGCCAGTAGTAAGCCAGCAGAAATCAGTAGCAGCTTTGCTTCCTCATGGCTCAGTGTCAGTCCTTTCCTACACAAAGCTCCAACATGAGCAATGTCTGTAAAGTAAAACACCACAGAAAAGAGAATCTAGAACAAAACTTGCCTGGGAGCTATGAAAATCTAGCCCACAAAGTGAGAAAACAAGGCATAATCAACATTAAAATACATGGCATTGATATCCTTTGCTACAAATAATTTTGTTTCTCTTTTTGTCAGTCTCAGTCATCAACAGATATATAGGACTGCAGATAAACTGTAAAGAAAGAACATCATGAAGCATTAGAGGACAAGGCATGTAAAATTACAATATAAAAGTGGTGGGGTGCTTGCAGCAAAAGTTGTAGTCTATGTCAGCAAAAGTGAAATTGTAACTACTGCAAGCAGATTATAATAAAATACATGAAAAGCATGGATAGATGAAATGTGCTCTCTGAAGTCCCTTAAACTTTTCTTCCTCAATAAATATCTGTGTCTGTTAGATCATGCTGGCATTGGGCCTGACAGGGAAATCAAAACTTTAGACAAAAATTTTAGTTTCTCTTGGAGTAACTTCCCTTTCCATAGCAATGTTTAACTCTAACCTCCCCACTATACAACAATTAGGTAGCCTACTTGACAAGAATACATCAAGTCAGAGCTCTTTCAAAGCTCTCTGGGCGAGATAACCTGATGCCTTTTCACAGACAGATTTCTAAAACTGAACAGAAACCCTGAAGTTGGTAAAAATAAGCATCTGGAAGTGTCAGCAAATGTAAGATTACATCATCTCAGCCACAGTATTGAATGATGTCTATCGGCACATGTAACAGTACCATTTACATGGTATATTCCAATATTCTTTACCTAGGAGGACACAGCAAAGGCCCAAATCAGCATCTATAAAGTCAGACTGACTTTCTAAGTAGTATATAAAGAAAGGAGCAGTAAAAACGTAATCTGCTAGCAATTACACAAACCAGTAGAGAGCACAGGGGAAATCAGATATTTCAGCCACTCTACATCCACCTTTTTCCCCTTAACAGATTTACTCCACACACACTTTCAGAACAGCATGTAAAATGTAGATGTTGTGTTAAAGAACATTGCTGGGACAGCAGACAGAGGCATGAGATGACAACCACGAAAGAACATGACTGTGACTTGTGGAATAGCTGTGGGTGTTCCGTATAGTTCTGTATATACATCTTACACATACACTCACTACAGTGGTTCAGTTAAAACCAGTGCAAGATACAAGTCTGGAAGATACTCAGTGGATGTATTAATATTGAGAATTCTGTAACTTCTCCTGTGCAGAAGGAAAATACTTTACAGCTTTTAATGTGATTAATAGTTACAGGCACTTAACTATCACACAGATGAGATCTCTTAAGAACAAGTTTTGCAGGATGATGCAAGGTACTAAGACCCAACATACCTTTTGGTTGGCCATACTAAGGTAAGATAATCATTTATACTGAGCATTTATACTGAAATTAATTTCAAGTACAAAACAACTAAAAGGATTTATTTCTCTAATGGAACTTTCTTTTCATTTCACTTGGAAGAATCTTAATATAGTTTTCTTCTACATGAGCTTATGCTAGTATTACTATTACTTTTAAAGCAGATAAATTCCCCACAGTGTGATGATTTAACTAATTGACTGGACTGAAGTGACAGAGGCCTCCTCTTGAAAAGGACAGTATTTTTAAGTGTAGCATGCCTTACCTTGTAACATCACTACTAGCTTGTTCTTCTTGCTTGAGTTCAGATAATGATGCATCTCCGTTACTCAAACTTTCGATCATGGATAGCTCTGTACTGCTTTGTGACATGTCCTTGCATTTACTGAGATTTGCTAATGAAGTCACCACATTTGCCAGTGTACTTAAATCTCCTTGACATGCTTCTACCTAAGGGAGAAGAACAGCTTTTAATTCTCAGTTAATTGGCAGCAGTTAACCTGCAAGAGAAGAGCCTAACTTTCACATAAATGAAGAATAGAACATATGCATATATACCTGTAAGAAACCTCTTTTCAGTACATGAATGAGCACAATAAAGCAATTAGACACTGCACTGCATCTAAAATATATTTTGACATTTAATTGTAAAAGTAATAGCGGTCTATTTCTTTCAGAAAGAATACTACTGATGGTGAGCAAGTGCCGAAAGAAGATTTCATATCTCTACACACTAGTCCATCACCAGGAATATAAAATTGCTCTAAATTATATTTTTAGTATCTTCCTTCCCTATGTAAATGAGTCAGTAGTAATAGGGTAGAAGAGCATCTGAGAAGAAGGAATGCATGAAAAGTCACCTTTATAATCAAGCAGAAAAAGAATTCTGCTGTAGCCTTTTTGGTGTTTATGTTTTTATTTTACTGCAAAGGAAAAAAGTGATTCAGTACTGGCCAGCAGCTCACATAGGCAATAAGACGTGACCCACCCTGTCCCAGAAAAAAAAAAAAAAAGTACATTATTACAGACAAGTATGCTGCTGCTAACACCTGACAGAGCAAGCAAAGCAAAATGCATGAAAACAGTATAAGGTTGTTGTCGGTCACTCCTCACACAGGGCACCATTTGTTGTCATCAGTCCCTAAAACAAGGCACCAATTTGACTGTGGTCACATGACTGACACCAGCATCAGTCCCTTGTTATCTAAAAACTTCCCCTGACTGATGTACGGCTCAAAAGACTAACACCAAAGATAGCAGCAAGCATCAGCAGTTTATTAAAGCCTTCATACTTTCTCTATGTTACAATCCCAAGAGTAGCACCTAGCAACACAGATGCCTTCCTCTCACAGCATGACCTACTAGCTCCAACACCAGCACCTCTCTCCGCCTAACTCTTTATACCTTTTCTCTCACATGCGTAATACCTACATGCCCTTCTACTCTTTTGCCATTGGTCACATCAGCATTTCACGCTTCTCCTTCAATGCTGGTCACCTGTCTTACACAGCTGCAACTTAACAGGGGCAAGATTGCCTGCAGCACTAGCTCTATTCTCTTACAATCTAGTCTCCCATGGGGTAATTTATTATCAGCTAGAAAAACATAAATGCTTCCTATTGTGCATATGTGTGGAAGTTATCACATGGCTTTGGTGGATCAGTAAGTGCAACAAAATGGAAACGAAGGAAACCAGCTCAGAAATAAAATTGTCAATGAGATAGGTCTTACCAAGCTTTGCCAAAAAAAGAGTGATTAGGAGGAAAAAATCCAACAATATTTACACATGGCACCGTGATAGTGCCATGAGAAGTTTTGTGAGCACCTCACTTTATTTGTACAAAAGAGCAAGCCAAGTATCAGAATTATCCCAAAACAAAAAATTAAAATAATACAGCCCTTCAGGCTCGCTAAAAATGCGAAGGAAGGGCATTTGTAAAGAGAAGGCATTTGTAACACTGGTGAATGTTGTAAAGCAGTATTTTGAAAATTAATTTAACCAAATAGAACACCCTTCTCTCCTTACATATACAATCACATCAATTAGCTCTACTTACTATATCAGTCATATCATCACATACCTGATCTGGAGTCATCAGCACAGTAGGCTCACTTTTTATTGCAGATGGATGAATGTTAACAAACATTCCTGATTCCAGCAAACCCGGTGATCTGACAGAAAACAGCACAAGTTTTAATTCTGATTAATTTTAAAATTGAATTTTCCTTTTTCAGAAGACAGAGAGAGCCACTTCTGAATACAATTTGCATACCTTGCTGTTTCATTGTCTGTTACAAAAGTTGGGGTTGCAGCTAATGGACTACGAAGATCTTTCCGAATGTAGATCTTTTCTGTAGAAGCTGCACAGTTAGAAGATTTTTCTCTTGACACTTCAATAGGTTTCCTCTCACACTGTACAGCTACAGAAATAATACCCAACTATTAAATCACACCCTGAATTACAGAATAAGAAATAATACTTTTTTAAATTATTATTTGATTTTAATAATAATTCTGAAAATAACTAAAATATATATAAAATATATCCCATAACCAACAAGCTAACAAGCTGGATAAAAACCAGCACACTGATTTGATGAGTTCTAAATGAAATGATGTAGTAGTCAAAGTCTGAGATCAAACATATATAAGATTTTTAAGTTACAATTAAGAGAGACATCCCTTCATTTTTAATTTGAATCAAAGTGGAAGCTTAAATCTTCTCATTCTCTGAGCTTCACTATCTCACACTCTTACTTCTTTTGTAAAGGACTCATGGTATGTTTTTCTATGGATTGTGGGTCTGTGTTGAACACATGTAACCTCAGTCATTTAAAGAAGCTTCTCAAGTTAGGACCTCAGACAGTACATGGGAAAAGGTACATGCACAAAGTTCAGTTCAGACCATTTAAGATCAATCTGGGCAATACCCTGACCCACAGTCACTGACTTCAGAGAAGAAGTGGATTTTTAATTTGAATGACTCAATGAAACAAAGGGTGGAATGAATCCAGGCTTTACCTACAGATATATCACCTTGCTTTGAACATTAAAATTAAACTTACAGTATCATCTCCTATGGGAAAAATCTGGAAATGTGAAAAATGTGCCATTTCAGATAAAGAAATTAAAAACTTTTCAAGACAGCAGTAGACTGTGATGCTATTGAAATTTTTACACTGATAAATATCTTAAACCTCTAATGTTGTAATATTAAGTATTGACAATGCTGTTGAAGTCAGCCTGCAACCCATAAATAGTGCTTTAAAGAGTGGGAGATGGAGGCAAGTATTTCATCTTCCTTTGCAAATGCTGTGCTCAGTAGCAGTGTCTCACTTGGCTGAGAAAAGACCAAGGCTTCCTCAAGAGACAAATAACCCTCACTGAGGGAGCTACAGTCCAAGACCATCCTAAGTTTTCTTTCCCCTTACCACTGAGGAATGAGAATATTAACTTCTTATCACCAAACAATCCTCTCCCTCATTCAATGTTCCCCCATGGCCCAGAGATTATTTTCCTGCCGTCTGATCCCTAAGCCCAGTGATTTTGTTCTGCTTAAAAAGTCTTCAGTGGAAGGGCCTTTTCTTACTTACTGCCAGCTGAACTAGAGGGTAAAGATCCACTTTCACTGCCCCAGCTTTTCCTCCCTTTCTGAATTAATTTCCTCTGTGTTACTGATTTCTGCTGACAGAAGCAGGGCTGTAAGGAGGAAAATGTCCACAGAGGTTCAAGAGGGTCAGTAAAAGAAGCGCAGGATGACAGAGAGCAGACAACAAGACCAATACTGTATGTACTGCGACAGCATCACAGTATTAGGCCAGAAGAATTTGTGTTTTGTGTCATTTTCTGTGTATTTAGTATTCTGATACTGCAATACCACTACATCAAATGTATGGAAAGCTAAAAAGCAACTTGGAATCTGCAAGAATTGGAAAGAACTGAACTTTAGATCACTATAGATCTATGCCTTGTGAATAACTGTCTCTGAAGAGCTTTGCCAAAAGTGAACAGCAACTGCCAGTAATCTCAGCTATGGAAAAACTGAAAAGAAGGTAGAGTTCAAGAAGTTCAGTAGCTTAATTTACCCATAAAGAAGTTGAACTGCATCAGAAAAAATGCAGACATGTTTGATATTTGCCATATAGGAGTAACAATTCATTCACTTTCATCACATGGAATGGAGCTTATTAAGCTTTTAAAGCAAACACCTGAAAGCATGTAATATTTCTGATACACCAAACTTTACAATTCTTTAAAAGGAAGATACAATGACTTAAAAGTATGTAACCAAGGCAACAATTTGTATCTATATAAAGCATATCTTTTGTAGCACAAAGTAGCTGCCAGGTAAAGCAGTTTGCTCTTATTCAGACTTACAATCTTGTTTCATCCCAAAGGCGATGCATCTCTGCAGCCTACAATACTGACAGCGATTCCGGTGGTGTTTGTTTATGACACAGTCTTTTGTTCCTCGGCAGGAATAAACTAAATTTTTACGTATACTCCTTTTAAAGAATCCTTTGCATCCCTCACAGGTTACTGCTCCATAATGACGCCCTAGTTTTAAAATAACAGAAAATGTGACATTAATTTTACAGTATAATATTATTTTTTAGACTTTACATTTGTTGAAAACAAAGTATTAGCTATTTTACCCAGAAAAGGAACACTTGTTTTTCCCCATGGGTTACATATCTTAAAATATATTTGGGCTATAAAACAACATAAAAAAAGCAAGTGAACCATTTTTCTAGTTCAAAGCACTTAAACAGTATTTTACAAACAGGCAAGTTGCTTATTAAATCATTTCCTTATCTGTTGACAGTAGTGTTAAAAAGACTAGAAAGCATTAGTAAGAACCCAGCAAAAAATATTTTAGTTTATAGATTTCTTTAGTAATTTTACCTACAGACAAGCCCCGCGATTCCTCATTACAAGTTCAGCTGTAGAAATTGTATGCATTAAATCAAATGGAATAATGGAAAGTGCAAACATAGCATTTGACAGCATGAGGCAATCACTTCAAAGCTTTACTTTCAACTTTCATTTTCCTAGCACGTAGCTCTTGCAGTAAAACACCAATGAAAGAATAATCTAGAACAGCTACAACTCTTTTTTTTGAAGACCAGTTCTGCAAGTTTAATGTATAATATAAAAATTTCTAAGATATACTACAAAAAGTAACTTTTAAAATTATTTTTACAAGCAAATTATTTTGATTTTGCATAAAATCTAAGCATTACTAAAAATAATTGATGAAGGCATGCTTGGCAGTTAGTTACAACAACAAATCCTTGAAATACCTATGGCCCATTACAAAATAAATAACAAATATGACCTGATTTAGGAGAAAACAACACTTTTAGATTCTTTCCTGAAGTTTCTAGAAATTCTGACAGGTTTTCTAGATTCCTTTATCACAACCTTTTTACCACTACTAAAATGTGAAATTTCAGAAGCATCGTATGTATTAAAAGAATAATGCCTGAAACATTTTAGTGGCTGCTCGATTATGAATATGCATTCTGCAATGTACCATGTCTGCTTCTTCACCTACTCTTTTGATGTAGTTTCTTTAATTCCAGCTTGCAAGTGTCTGCAAAGCAGTTTTCATGACAGTGTTTGTCACACGGGAGGCTCCCCAAAACCTGCAGCTACTCAAAGGAACCTGGCACCCTCCCCAAAGTCATTACCACTGCCCAATATTCCAAGGCCAGCACAAGAGGAAAACCACCTTGGATCTCCAGTCCCTCACAGGAGACTCCAGCCCTCCTCTGGGGAGTCAGGAGAGTTTTAACAATTAGAACACACCAGTCAGATCTCTGCCTTAAGTTTGTAAGAAATTGCTCTAGCAACTGTATTTTTTATATTAAACTTTGCCAAGTTTTTGGGGAAAAAAAAAATTATACATTTTACTTTCTAGCAAGTTTGCTCCCTGCTGAAAGGAGACTTCATAGTGGTCTGCAAGTTCCTCACAAGGGGAAATGGATGAGCTCTGATCTACTCCCTCTGCTGCCACGACCCAAGGGAATGGCATGAAGTCGGTCAGGGAGATTTTAGGTTAGATGTTAGGAAAAAGGTTTTTCGCCCAGAGGGTGGCTGGGCACTGGCACAGTCTCCACAGGGAAGTGGTCACAGCATCAGCCTGACAGAGCTCAGGAAGCATTTGGACCACACTCTCAGGCACAGGATGTGACTCCTAGAGTGTCCTGTGCAGGGCCACAAACTGGACTTCAGTGATCCTTGTGGGTCCCTTCCAACTCAGGATATCCTATGATCCTATGTAAAGCAACAATAAATTTTATCTATGGATACTAGAGTACCATTTAGTGAAATTCTCCACTGCATGTATAGAAATTTATACATGTATATGCATGCAAACTGCTACACATCTTCAGAAGAATTGTAAACTGCTTTTATAAAATTGTACCACCTTAAAAAAAAGAAAGAAAAAAATAAATACCTGATGCTTTGTCTCCACATACAACACACAGATCAAACACTTTATTTAGGCCCTGTTCATTGGGGGAGTTGTCTGTTAAAATCTGAAAAAAAAGTGGAAAAGAATTTAATTTTACTTTTTCTTACCATCTAGAAATAGTAAAATGTATCTCATGCTTGTGGTTTTTGTCTAAGGGGACTAAATCTACAAAGTATCATGTTTTCTTGATGACATGTAATGGTCTTCAGAGACACAAAGTTGAGACCTGCCATGCCACTGTGCTCCCTTTCAGGAGGGAACTAGAGTTTTACTTGTAATGCTTTTGAGAAGAATTCAAGATTTCATTTCTCTAAATACTACTTCTGCAAAATGGACTGACATCTTGAAAAACTTTCAGCATCTGCATACCCTTACCTTTTGCTCAATTTTATATTTATATACTAATGGCTCACCCACAGTAAAAAAGAGACAGAAGCACTAAACAGATGGAACAAAAAAAAATCCCTTGTAAAGGCTATTAGATCTACACAGTTTATTAACTCCTTTTTTTATAACACACATAAATATGGAACAAAAGAAAATGTACTCTGGACACTACCATTAACTTCCAACTGGTATATAGCTTGGCTTTCATTAACAGCTTGATATTATTAAAGTATTCTTGTCTCTTTCATTTATCTCTGGTACCTGTAAAGCTTTGTTAAGCACATAATATTAGAATCCCAGTACTACAAGGAAGGCACAGAACATTTCACCTAATCTTTGAAAACTATCCCATCACAGCATAAATAAAGCACAGCAAAAGCTCCATTTAGAAAAGGAACACACAAATCACAAGTAACAACCAAACATCATCTTGACATAGAAAATAAAAAATATTCTTCTCATTAAAAAGAGAATATAGTTTAGATGCTTGAAGAGTTTTTAACTTCTACTGTGCCATAAAGGGAAGCCAGACTCCTCATCCTTGTTTCACATATTCAGAATGGGACCTCTGATAAAAAGAGAAGTAACTGAAACAGAAAGTGCTCTCCCTTCCACAGAGAAAATTTAGAAATTGCGCTTTTTAGAGTTTGGAACATAATACAGATGATATATGTAGGAAAGTTTAACAAGCATACTTCTTTCTAGTTAACACTCTTAATGATGCCGTCTCTGAGATTCATCTCCTATGTTTTCTTTAAAAAAACACCAACTTTTTAAGAAAAACAAGATGATGAGTTAAGAGAATATTAACTTTTTGATCCTTCCAAATTTCCAGTATTAATGTTATGTATTTTCATGATATAAAATATATACAAATAAATTCTAAGTCCTTCCATAAATTAAAGCTGCACCGACATGGGAAGTTCCACATGAGGAAGGACTACAGAACGGGCCCATGAGGAGATTAAAATCCCAGACTCAGAGAACTTACTAACTGACTTTGAACATGAAGAATAAAAATTGATTATTAATATGAAGAAGAGCCACTGAAGTTTAAACAGATGATGGGAGAAAGGGTCTTGCCAAATGAGTCAATGTAAAGATAAGATGCAATAACAGAGACATTTTTGTCAGAACAAAACAAATGAGCATTTCAAATGAAGGCTACAGAAGAAAAGAACAGTGAAATTGCAGATGGATAGATCATTTGAGGGAGAAAATACAAAAGATCCCAAAGGGATGCAGATGAACAACAAATGAATGGTACTCTGTATTTCATGAACTTTTAAATGGACAAAGGAAATCTCAACCCATACATATCAGCAGACAACAGAACAATTTAACTAGAGTGACAGAATACTCTGTTGCCTCTCAAACTGACCTATTTTGCCCAAATGATACAATCAGAACTACAGTTTTCAATTTTTTTGTACAGATTTCCTCTTTTCCTGAATTTTTCCTTTTAAACCAGTGTGGCACACTGCTCATCTTTTAAGTTGTCTTTGAAAATAATTTTTAAGTGGACTACTCATATTCCACTGGTTTGTATTTTTGTTGTGGCTTACCTAAAATACAAAGTGTATGGTAACATCAAACATGCTTCAATGCCTCTCAAGAGAACTGGCTTTTGCTACTGGTCCCCTGTTCACAGTAATCAAATTTTTGGAGCAAGAACCTAGGACGTCCACTCTCAAAGAACTGTGAGTTTCAAAACCAGTAGTATTATATAATGCAGAGATTCTTTCAAGCTTACATAACGTGTGGGTAGTCAATCAGTGAACTGGTTCACAGAAGAGCACAAACTAAACAGTTAAAGGGTCTGCAACCGAAAAGAGACTGCTTAAAAGAGGATTTTGGAGTGATTTATAAACCCCCACACAAATCCTTAATAGTATCTTATAGTGCAAGAGACACCTAATTAAACACTTCTCCCAGATGGTGAAATCATCTAACATATTTCTTGTACACCATACAATACTATTGGATATTATACAGACTAAAGCTTACATGGTCTATATAAATAACAATAAAAGGTTGTTTAATATCCGTTATCAAATATGATGGTCTTATTGCAGCCTTCAAATCAGCAGGCTGCTCTGTATCATTAGCTAAAAGGATATGCTCAGAAAAATCATTCTTTACTTGGCCATCTTTTAATATTTTTCCCTAAGCCGCTGTTTTTGGTCATAGTGTTTAAGTGTTTGATACTAGACTAAATAGACTGCAGCTATCTGAATGTTGTCATTCAACATTCCACTGATGTATTTTAACAGAAGCATAAATGTGTGTGCCTGAATTATATGCAGTAACTGTACTTTAGCTGGAGTGCAGTAACCTACTTCATGCTGAAGGAGGTCACATCTCCCAACTCTTCTGGCATGTTTTTTACAATCTTCACATCAGTGCCATCCCATCCTGGCCAGGCTAGGGATGTGGGACAGAAAGCCTGGAAGTTGCAGGGTGGCAACTAAGGAAGCTGCACATATAACATGCATGGGAGTAAGGTGCACTGGGGACCTTAGTTTAGGGAGTTACAACCCTGGCTAGTTACAATATCACATTAGTAAACCCAAAATCATTACTGTTATTTTCTCACCCCCATGGAGTAATATATTTCCCTATTAAATAGTCTGAGCACTGCTGTGGACTACAATTCACACAGCTGAACAGCAGTTGCAACAGTGTACAAAAAGGGAAACGAGCCAAAGGACAGCAAGAAGGACAACGGAGAAAAGTGAATATTTCTCAACAATACATGAAAACAGATGGAGAATTAAGGAGCAGAGATAAAGTACTGTTGGCATGGCAGAATCTGGAAATGACAATAAAAATAACTGTATTCTTCCTAATGTCATGAGCCAACATAGACATTTTAAAATCAAGAAATTTACTAAAAAAGCTTTCTCATAATTTTTAAGTATCCACAATGAGTTGTAGTGCAAGGAAAATTATACTTAAAAAAAAATAGAAAAGGAGAACCCAGACAGACTTATTTGGAAATAAAACATCTTTTCTTATCCCATTTGAATGAAAAATATGAAACAAAGTGGATTATCTACCTGGATGTGTTGTGCAGATATATCAGGGGATGCAAAAAACAGTTGGTTGACACCTGCAGCATCTGGAGTTGCTAGGATAACTTTTCCTGGAGTGGAATCTTGTCTGGCAAGGATCACCTTGCTTGGGGTAGAGCCATCATGATTTGTTAAGATGAACTGCTTGCCTGCTGAGCTCTGATCAAGTGCTGTAACAATCTGAATCTTCTGGCCCGTCTGCTGATCTGTGACAATCTAATAATACATTTATCTCAAATTGTTATGGTGATTTAAGTTAACTTTTTGGACCCAATCCGGGCACTTGAAGGAAATGGGAACTTTGCCTTTCACATTTGAGAAGCAGGATCATCTTCCCCTCTGTCACACAAGACTGAATTACACTCAGGCGAAAACTTGGATTTTCACTGTATTTGAAACACATTTCAGTCAGGGGTGTTTGAAGTCAAAACCTGAGTTCGTACTCAATTTTTACAACTGGCACATGCTTTTACAACACTACTGAAATTCTTGACAATTCTAACATCAGAACTCAAGGCATGTCTGTAGCTAAGCCCTAAGACCCATCAGATTATAAGAAATCTTAAATCTTGAATTCACTGCATTCTACATGAAGTGTTTGCAGCACCTCCAAGGTTTGGTTACTAAACAAAAAACCTCTTCAAACCACAAACATAGATGTCCAAGTGAAAAAAATAAACAGCAAACAGCAGGAAAAGCAATTATACTGTTGCACCTGTGTATACATTTCAGACTTCATTTTGTGGGGACCTATTTTACATATACGTTTCTAAATAAAGTAAGTGAAACAGAATCTTTCCCTGCCTTTTTTTCTTTTCTTTTTTTTTTAAAGGAAAAACTGTTTTTTGTTTTATAATCAAGAACAGATCTACAGGGGTTTTTTCCATTTTATTCCTATTTTCAAGCACAAACACAGCAGAATTTTATTGAATAATCCTCCACTTTCTGCCAACTTTGTCAAAAGATAATAATCCTCAGAGAAAATAATCAAGATTCTATATATATATTCCATTATAAATCTCACTTTTAGTCACTTCTTTTCTCCATCAAAATGCCTATATGGAAAACTGCCTGTTTTTTTCTGGAGACTAAGGAGAATTATCTTACAAAGACTGTTTCCTGCAAATCATTTTGAATTACGGATCAATAAAACAGCTCCTAATATTTTTTTTTAAACTACAGACAAACATTTATGTTTACTGACACATCCCCAACATTCATATTACAGATATGAATTTTATTTTTATTACAGAGGACATTTATTTCATTTTCTAATACTTACCATAACTAGTTCCATGTAATCGGGTTGCCAATATGAATTACATTTCCTAGGTGGAGAACCATGGCACAAAGAAACTGAATGATGTGTAATTTCACAGGAGCTTTTTATGAGCTTTGCTATTGTACCTTCACAATATGCTTATTACTTTCTCTAAATGCTCAGTACCTGTGTATAGCTTACATTTTAAAAATATAAGCAGTGATGAGTATCCAATTTCAGCAGTTATAATGCAATATTGCCACTTTCAAATATTCAGAAATCATGAATTTCAATACACAAAATGAATGTGCTTCCTTCCGGTGGCCTTGTGTTCTAACATTATAATGGACCGAATTTAAATCTTTTTCTCAGCAAAATATGATTAAAAGTATATCTAGGAGAAAAGTGCAGGTAAAATGATAAAATTCTAAATGCTAAAAACCAAAAATTATCATGGGATTTGGGGTGTAAGTAGCTGACATTCTATTCCCCTTCTTTCCAAACATCTATTTAACTGGGATTAAGAGAAATCCAATGTACATTATGCTCAACAGGGTGCATAAATATACAAAAGCCAAACAGAACACTGTGCTGTTTTCTGAATTTCCAGACCTGCTCTTTGAAAGACACTCTTAGCTAAAATCTGTCTCCCTATCAAATCTTAAAAGCACAACCAACATATATACGCCATCTAGTTAGGTTTATACAAAGTATATTCAAAAACCAGCATGTCCCAAACAGTAAAGACACAAACTTGAACTACAGCTGAAATTATTCTTGGGACATATATACTAAGTTATCTTTTTCCTATTGTAGCCCAGTTGTGTAATTAAAGAAATATATGAACTTGTAGATAAATATGGCAGAGAGAGTAGGCAGAAGAACCACTGCTACTGCACCCAATTCACTTCACCTATTTAACGGAGTCCCAATCTTCAAATGGGTTCCTGCAATTCTAGGAGGATGCCCCGGTAGTTTTCACTATATGATATAGTAGGTATAGTGTTACATTAATATTCTTATAAAGCTATTCAACCTGCTCAAGTGATTTCTGCAGCTGACAAGCATTTGACAACTGACAGAGGCATGAGAGCAGTTTAAACAATTAAGCAGGTTCTGTCTGCAGCTGACCTCCTATGGCCACGCACCTGCAAAACCTCCACCCACACTGCAATGGGAACACTGAAAAGTGGAGCAGTTCACCATAGTACAACTTGCAATACCTAAACGTCAAAGTAAGAGAAAAAAATAATCAGAGGGAAAAGGAAAACCATTTATCTTCTGACTACAAATGCACCACGAATCAGTGACAACACGTTATCTTCCTTAATAATCTGAAACTCAATATTGCTAAAACAATATTATAAAATAGGAACATATCAATTCAGGACTGACTGCACAAAAAATACCCTACCCCCATGTATTTCATTTAAGCATCCTGATGATAACAGAAGATATTATTTTCCTTTATTGCTTTTAAGCCTTGTCTGTTAACAAGTTTTGATTTCCATTTGAACATCATTTCAATATATTAAACAGCTCAGTGTGTTCCTATTTTACAAAAAAGAAAATGTCTAAACACAGACAACTAATACACCTGTTTATAACCAATTTATAGCAAATTTTGTGCAGAAATGCCTGTTGAACAAATGTAACATTCAACTTTTCTCCCAGAAGAAATGCTAGTATTCCCTAAGAAGAGTGACTAATGAAAAAAGTTTTAAAGAACCTTTTACTGAGGATTTTCTACTTCAGTGTTTCAGATAATTAAGTGCATAAAATAATAATAAAGGAAAAAAAATTAATTGAAAATATATACTCAAAATTATTCAGTGTAACATTTATGGCGGACATTTCACTGAGATGCATTTATTCGTACAAACTACTTTGCTCTTCACATAAATTCTCCTCTGAGCGAAGTTTTTACTACTAAGTTTGATTCTACTGATGTTTGTAGATGTCTCTTGCAGGAAGGATGAGTGTTTTGAGTGAGTGTTGTTCCACACGTATCAAGAAACAATAACCAAAGCACTTATTGTCCTTTCTGAAGACAGAATGGTGGTTAATTGATGTGCAGGAATTAATTAGTTAAAAGTACAGCTGTACATGAAGTGTAGAAATGGAGTTGAGGTAGCTGAAAGAATGAAGACCTACTGGATTTGTAAGACAGATACCATGACTAGAGCACAGGTGGGAGGTAATAAATCTAAAAAAACCCAATCATGTATGGGGGGTGGTTGTGAAGAGCCTTGGAAGGTTGAAAGTTTGAACATAATGCACCAAAACAGGAAAATGCAGTTTTTGATGTTTCAGAGTGAAGCTGGTAAAAGCAAAAGCAGCCAAGATTATACTAGCAGCTGTCTCACTTTAATGTGTGCTTTTGTAAGAGCAACATACATCTGACAATATTTTTTCCATTTATTCTGCAGTTGATAATTTTCCTCTATAATGAAAATTAAAAATAAAACTGACATGCACTGACTTCTAAGGCATAAAATATAAAATTCCATTCTGCAAATCTTCTTAGTCTCCATATACACATTTCTGTGTTAACTTATGTACCTACATTGCCAGAAACTTCACTACCCTCACTTCAGCTGGAGGTTATTACTTGGTCAGCCTATGGATTATAATACCAAGATATGCAACATGGGTTAGGACAGCCAAAAACCAGTATTCTTCTCAGACATTAAGCTTCCTGCACTTTTTCATGACTTCAAAAATACATTTCACTCCCAGCTTCTGCTCCAAAATGTAGAAATCCTTCAATTTAGTTGAACTACAAAATCGACCAAATACTCAACTTTCAAGGAATAGCCTCACTTGTAAAAAGTATTTTTCTGTTCAGTGATTTAGGGTTTTTGTAATGTTAGAATTCTTAAAAAGGGGAAAAAAAAAAAAAAAGGAAAAAAAGACAGGAAAGACTAGAATGATGTTTTATTCCTGTTTATACAGAAAGGGTCTCTGCCATCCGGGGCCAAATATTTACATTAAAGCAAGTAACATTATGAAAACAAAGAACTGCATGTGAAAACTGGCAGAAGCAAATAGTTCATCTCTGTTTTTAAAATGCATCAGATGAAGCATACCTGTATACGCTGTGATAAAGAGAGGCCTGAATCTGCAGGGACAATCTGTATTCGTTGTGGTGTCCCATCCATTAGTGTTTGTGTACCACCTTCCTGGGAACGTGTAACCTAGAAAGAAGAAACAAATGTAATGGACTGACAACAGATGTACTACTTTAACAGATCCACTACCTTAATGGATTAAACCTTAAGGTTTCATCAACTTGTAATTTCTCTAAACAAGGCCACAGAAAGTCTGACACTTATTTTATAAAAAATGTGAATGCTTGAATCTAATTCAACACCTTAATTTTTCCAACTGGAAAATTCTGATTTAAACCGATTTGGAAATACCTTCCAATGTGAAATTTACAAATACTTTAGGTAAAGCAATTAATTGTTGACAAGTCCATGTATGTCAATCGAACTGAACATTTACTACTGTTGATGTTCATGAGACAAAATACCCATCATCATAGCTGTGCTGTGTTTGCAATAAATGTAATTTAATGGCTCACTTGAATTGACAGAAGGTTTTTTTGTATGGAAATACAGCAATTGTCAATTTCAATTCTGTTTTTCTGTTAAAGAATTCTGTGCTGAAGAACTATTAACAAAGACAGGCGAAACTAATAAATTGTGTGAAATCTGCAAACAGTATATCTTGTATTAAAATCTCTGCATGAATGCTCTCAGACACAATTCATGGAAGTGTTTTAACAATTATCAATATTTTAAAAATTCTTCACACTCTACAGCCAATGGCATATGAGGTAAGGTATTACTCTACTTTATCTGTCAGTAAAAATTAAGGATAGCTGCTATTTGTAGAGGGATCACAAAGGCCAGATTTTTTGCAGTACAAAGAGAAGTTGTCTTCACAGAGTTTACAGACACCTTCAAATTGAAATTTTTATCTTAAATTCCCAGGTAACTCCAAAATCTTTTTGCTATTCACAAAACTGACTGCAACATCCTGCAAATCTCTATTACCAATAATTCTCAGTATTTACACCATTATACAAATACTCCTCTACACCTGACTGCCCCTCTGCCCCTCCCAATTAATATAGAGAATAGATATGTCTATTGCACTAAAGGTACTCTTTCATAATAGTTTGCAAAGGTTTTTTGTTCCTCCTGGATCAGCTTCCTGATTTTGCAACCATAACATCATCTAAATGCTAGTACCAGCAGACAAAAGCAGGCCAGAACATGCAGCTGGAGGTCAGTATGAGAGGGGGACTGAATAGAGGGTAAGACTTCCCCTGGCAGCAGAAATACAAGCTCCCATCAGCCTACGTTGATTTTGAAGCTTTGCCCAAAAAGATGTTACTTTTGGTTGCCAACTCATAATCTACTTGCTCCTCTCCCCTCAGTGTGGCAGGTAAAACTGGCTTGTTAGTCATTCCATGATCTGGAACAGGACAACAGTGCAAGCTGAAAAGCAGCCCAGCAAACAAAGGCTATTCTTAGCACAGATCAAACCTTCAATCCAGTCTCCACAATGCTCAGAAGCAGATGTATCAGAGCAAATAAGTGAGGCTAAGCTGCTGGGGTGATTGCTTAAGCTGCCAGCACTACCAAAAGAAATGCTTGTCAAACTACTGCCCAAGCCATTTCTGGACACTGCTTTCTAAAAATACCTGATTTTTCCGAGTATAAGTACTTTTAAACAATTCATCCACTTCTTTGCTTAAGTAAAGGACAAAAAACTACTCATTACCCAGCAGCATCTTCCTTTCAAGAGAGGTACTTTGAAGCACTGAAGCTCTGCATCAGCCACTCAAATCAACAGGTACACATGGTGATTCAAAAGCGGTTAAAGTTTTATGTGCATTTACCTTCGCTTTACAAAATAAGCTACATATTATAGAATTGATTTACATTTGCTCCCTTAAAATGTCATGATCCACATCCTGTGTAAGGTGAAACTGCTTTTTAGCCCTACAAAATGTCAGCTTGACACTTCTACATTTATGCAGAATTAAATTTTTTTTTTTACTGCAGTTAATATTGATAAGAGTAACAGCAAAATTTGTTATAAATTGTGCTTTTTATGTGTGTGACTGACTGTTTCAACAAGTATGTAGCTTTCCCCTGTTACAGTAAACTTGGCAGGATTGTGGAAATGAACCACCATATACTTAGTGTACCCAGCCACAGATTAAAGAAAGAAGAATGCTGCAGGCTCTCGGCAGGTAGCTTCCCTACATGAATCAAGAAATATGGTCTTGATGTAGAAACAGGAATTATCTTGCACTGAGCAAAAGATGACTAGCTGATGGCAGAATCTAAGCAATGGCAATCACTGCACAATGCCCCATATAGACAGGATTATATTTTGCTTCAATGTTTTGCTTTCATGCAGAAAGTCATAAATTAACAAAAGCATGTTTGTGAACACCATTGTAAAACTGTTGTCACAATTTCGTGATTTAAAATGCTTCATGAACAACAATTATAATAAAAAAATTAAAATCTATGTACAAAACACTTCTGACCATTATTTCAATGAGACAGAGAAGTATTTTCATTCTCCCTCAATATTGGAACACCATTTCCTTTCAGTTTCTTCTCTCGTAAGTTTTTTTGTAAATTCAATTAAAACTACTTCAACATTCAAGAGAATTATAAATGCTAGCAAAAATACTGCTGAAGTTCTCTAGATCTTAAACTATGATTTTTCAGTGCTTAGTGATTAGGAATGCCACCAAGCAATTACAGCCTGTAGGAAGGCAGGAATGTAAGTTATTGCATGGAGGCCCCTCTGAGACTGCTTTCCTTGCTGATTCCACCTTTCTGACAGCACATTCATGCATGGTATGCACCTCTGACAATATTTTTGGCTTAAGAAGTCCCAGCTTGCACTGCCCTCAGGGGTGCCTTTGAGTCCTTCCAACCATGCGCCTGGCTGGCCGCACCTTGTACGAAATAAGGACACTGATCACAACCAACATGGAGATGACCTTCATCCACTATGCTGTAATTAAATTTTTTCCTTAGTTTTGTCCACCAGATGATGACACACAGAGCTTACATGAGCAAGACTAGCATTGCATGAGAAGAAGCGGTTAAGTGAGGACTGGGGAACGGTTAAGCTCCACTGCTGCCAAATATGGTGTGACCATCTCAGACATGGTAAAACCTTGCTAAAGGACAAATCCTTATCTACACTGCTGACAAAACAACAGCCATGGAAACTGTAGAACTGTGATTTCACCACAAAAAGGAACAGCTACAGCTCTCTGCAGCACTGCACTTTCACTCTGTTTTCTCCCCTGCATTCCTTTGGCTACCAGCCATCTTCTTTGTGCTGGCTCTGGTAGTCACTGGAGCCTTCTCATACCCTACTCTACGCTAACCCAGCAGAAAACCTTCCACTTGTTATTAGCTTGATGTTGGTGGGGAAATTAGTAAGGAAATAAACAGAAAAACGACCCTGTCTCTCCCATCATACTAAGTCAGCTCAGTGTCTCCTGGAATCACGTAATGAAATTAAGAACAACCCCCACAGAGGCTAAACACCATCATCACACCATCCTGAGTGGAACATACACTTCAGCTAGCTTTGACTAGCCTTGTACTGTAAAAAATAAACAAATTTAAATGGGAAATACAGCCCTATTTAGACCTCAACAAAGAATTATAGGCCCAAAACAAAACTGCATTAAACACAAGTTGTCACCTAATGAAGAAGTAACAAAAAGAAAACATCATACATCCCATAAACCCATTTATGTCCTTTTGAGATAGTCTTAGCAACACTCAGATGCTACAAAAATAAAAGCTGTGAGAATTTACTCAGAGTAGAATTAATCATCCCATTCCCCACTCCAACCTTTCCACCTGAGATCAAGGCTGAGAAGAAATAAAATTACTTGTGAAGTCCATATCTAGACAAGAATCCAAGAGTGGATATTTCAAGCTAAAAAAATAACATTTATCTAAGATAAATAAATTACTGCTTCTATCTAATTTAAACTGGTGCTAATTTTAAATAGTCTGTGCTATACTGACACTTTCTAGATAACTATGTATACTCATCCACACTCAAACTGTGCATCTCTGGCAGTTCTCTGGCTGCAGTACACAGATTCTACACACAGGTCACAGAGAACCATAACGAGAAATCTGCAGAAACAGGAGCTCAGTCTTTCTTTTGACAAATAGCAAGCACATATTGACATGAAAGTGAAGAACATGGCAAAACTTTACTAGTGAAAATAAATATGACAAATGAAGTAATAGCATAGTTGTAAAGTAAAAGCTGTGTCCTGACTTTTTTAACTAAAATAGAGTAAAGCAATTACACAACCAGATGGCTCTCTGAAAAACACTCCAGGCTCAAGAGAGCAAGCTGAAAAGCTAGTGACTTACTGGAAACACTGCTAGATTGTTCTTTATTTCTGTGGGGCAAATTTTGGCAAAAAAGGCTATGCAGGTAACTTCAAAATGGACATGGTAGGTTCTTCTGTCTTCTGAGGGAAGTGTCCAGAAGCCTTGTCTGTACCAAAAATTTTCTCTTGTGATTTTGGTTTTTATACATCAGTCTGTGCATTTTACTATTCAATTTCTCTTAAACAGGACTCAAAATCTATGTACCTCTCCCATTTGCTGTTCAAAAATTTGATGGGCCAGTTCCTCTATGGTTGCCATGATCTTTAATCACCAGAATTTCCTGTCAAAGAAAGGAAAGAAGATGCTTAACATCTGTAGTTTCGAAAGTAAGAATATCCTGGGGAAAATATAGTTCACATAAGTGTGTTCACAATTTTATGAAGATGACATCCCTGCAGAATTTAAAGTTTGACTATAGTATGAAAATAAATAATTTACTATTTGAAAACTTTGTATTGTTTTATTCAAATAACTCATACAGACACTTCCTATTTTTCCTCTTCTGCTTTTCCAACAAGCAACACTACAGTAAAATCACTGAGAACAGAAGCCTATTACTGACCATGATATCAGCAGGTACATATTTAATGTCTTAAAAAACTGGAATGTAGACAGTTTTGTTAATGCAAATCAAGAGGGGCAAATCTAAGTTCTTCTGAATTCGTATAGTCATATAATATATGACTATATGAATTACATGAATTCATATATTCATGTAATATTTTTTAGTATTAACAGGAGTGCTTGAAGGTCAATTTTGTAACTAACAGGAGGTAGTACTTGGGACACAGAGAGTAAGTGTTTAAAAAAAAAGATGTTGTTTCATTATCAATACTATAGCTACAGCCCGAGCCCAAATCCTCATAAGAAGAATTTTGTGCATTTTAATGGACACTGGTACATTAATGCACTATAAGGGATTCAGATGCATGCCTCGTTTATTTGGCAAGGCATATATATTATTGATATACAAATATTTACTAGGCAGTACTTAAAAGGAACATTCACAAATTATAAACCACTGTATAAACAACTTTACTGACAAAAGTGAATTAAAAACACTGCAATACCTACTTCTTGTATGAACAATGACAGTACTCTTACACTAATACTGGATTTCATTCTTTGACTTTTCTGGAACTCCTAGGAATTACCTCTTCTTCAGTGAATCTCAAAACTTCCCCAATGAGGCATGCAAATAAAAAATTTAACTCACTTTTAACTCAAATTTAACTCAAGCTAATTCTGCTCTTAAGATTGGAAAGACAAATCTTTTTTTGACTAGAGCAAGAATTGCAGGCCTTGGAGGTGCGCCCATTGGTATACTAAAGCCTAATTAATGTGTGAAAGGGGAAAAACAAAAATATTTGGGCACTATATACCATTATTAATCACTCACTAGCATGCTGCATTAATAGTTAAATTATGACAAAAGATAACAGGCATGTATGTAGAGATGTGATACTGCAGCTTATGCTGAAAAGCATTATCTCCTAGGAAGATCTAGGCGTCAGCATCCTTGCAGGAGTGCTCTATTAGCGCACTTCTGCATCCAGTGAGCTACACAATCACTATTCAAAGAGCACTTGGAATTTTCAAGGCAGGCAATGTGTTTTATCAGTGTTTTCTTCTTTTAAATAAAATACTAGCAACAAAATATTGTACTGTTTACATGGAGAGTGCCAGAAATGCATGCTACTTCATTACAAGACAACAAAAAAACCCCCACTTTGAGGGATTAATTTGCACCAGATAGTCAGTTCTCCTAAATCAAATGTGACTGCCCTCACAGTCAAGATGTATTAGTAAAACAATATTAGCTTGAAAACTGAAAGTGATTTAAACTGACATGTTTCACCTTGGAGTAAAGCAGTGAAGGAACACATATGTATTCAACTATGATGCACCAGTCACAGGGAGTTGTTATAGCTCTCAGGCATAAACCACCAGCAGTGAATTTTTGAAACTTAGCTAAAAGAGACTCCTTTAAACTACACTTACATGAACATAGAACATCAAGTACACAAACAAGACTGAACTCTTATGATGAAGAGGAACCTGGAGAAAAGGTTGAACCTCTCCTACCTCTTCATGCTGTCTGGAACAAGCACAAGGAGAGTCAACTTATGGATGCATAACCAGCTGTCAAAGCTACACAAATCATCTGCATTTGAGCATGTGAGGCAAGCACACAATGGAAAAGGAATGTACTCACTATTACTGACAAGAATTTACATATTAATCACATGGTGTTTTAGATTTTGACACTTCCCCTTTTAATTTGCGTAAACATTCAGAAGTAGGTTCTTTTGTGTGCTGTTGCTTTATTTAACTCAGTGATCCCTAAACTGAAGGGCACTAACAAAACTAGTATTTGTAACACCAGTACTCTGTACTAAAATATCTTAATTGAATCACCTCCAATAAACCATGCAACTTTGCTTTGAAGAGCATGTATAACAGTGAAAAAATTCACCTTTGATATTTCACATATAAACTTTAGGCAGCATTTCATGTTGCAGATCAACTACAGATACGGATAACCGAAATAGGTGTTTCTATCCCATTTTCCATTTTTGGTTTCTAATTTCATCTCCTCATATGCTGGTATACACATAATGCTTGAGAAGTCAGTTCAAGCAACTGAACTGTCAGAAGCAACTTTACTTGCAGAGACAAGAAAATTTCAAAAGCAGTTTGAAGAGAATTTACAGCTCACTCCCAGGAAGGAGGTCCTGCTTGCCCTGAACAAGCTGCAGTGGTCTTGACCACACAGGAAAATTCAACTCACTAAAAGTAAAGAAAACTCAGCTGGCAGAAATGCAGCAAACATCACCTAGGTAAGCACACTGAACTGATTTCTTTTGCAGTCAGATTCATTCTGTTGCAGATGAAAGGGAGAACATGTTGTTGTAAGTCGAGAGAGGGAGGAAAAGAAGGAAGATTTGAGGAGGCAAACCTCCATTCCATTATTATTGCTGGGAAGCTGATAATTCAGTTTAACTGCACCATGAAACAGTACCCACTGCTTTGGGCCCAGCCAGGTGCCTGATGCAGCTCACTCTGGAGCCAGACAAGCTTACAGCCACTTGAGCAAAGAAGATTACCTCTCTGAGGAGCAGCCATCTGGCAAGCTATGCATCTTGCTCTGAGGACAGAGGAGCAGGACATGTCAAAAAAAGCTATCTACAAATTCTCACCTACCTTTGGGACAGCTGTAAAAGGTTTTGTGGTTCATATTTTTATTAGAGTAAAAAGGTCTCTTACCTAGAATATCTGTGTTAGACTTCATATCAGGTATGCTTTATCACTCTTTAGACATTCCTGCAAGGAATTAAGGAGAAAGAAAAACACTTCAGCTGTTTTTATTCTATTATGTAAATTTTAAAATTTAGCACATTTTTCATGTTTTTGAAAGCTTCTTCTCCTGAATTACTGCAGCCAACATTCTCAGTGGCTGAACTGTTTCACATGAAATGATAGATATATTCTAAATTCAAAGCCACCTGGAATTGAGAAATCTTCCCTGAACACCTTATAACCTTCATTTCCCAGCAAAGAAAATTACTTGGGGGATGATGGCCACAGATGTTGTCTACCCAGAGTTTAGCAAAGCCTCTGACACCATCTCCCCCAGCATTCTCCTGGACAAATTGGCAGCTCATGGCTTGAAGAGGGGTGCTGTTCCCTGGGTAGAAAACCAGCCACCTGGCTAGGCCCAGAATGCTGGCAAATGGGACTCCATCCAGTTGGTGGCTGGGCACCAGTGGTGCTCCCCAGGGCTCAGTAATGGGATCAGCCCTGTCTAATATCTTTATCCACGATCTGGATGAGGGGATGGAGGGCGCCCTGACTAGAGTTTGCAGATGATGCTAAGTTGGGCAGGAGTGCTGACCTGCTGGAAGGTAGGAAGGCTCTGGCAGAGGGATCTGCACAGGCTGGAACAATGGGCTGAGGCCTAGGGGTGCTGGTCAACAGCAGCTCAACAGCAGCTGGTCAACACAAGCCAGTGTGTGCCCAGGTGGCCAAGAAAGCCAGGGGCATCCTGGCCTTGAACACCAACAGTGAGGCCAGCAGGACCAGGGGAGGGATCCTCCCTCTGTACTCAGCACTGGTGAGGCCACACCTCAAATGCCATGTCCAGTTCTGGGCCCCTCCCTGCAAAAAAGGCACTGAGTTGCTGGGGGCAGTCCAGAGAAGGGCAATGGAGCTGGGGAAAGCTCTGGAGCATAAGTCAGTGGATGAGCAGCTGAGGGAGGCGGGGGTGATCAGCCTGGAGAAAAGGAGGCATAGCAGAAAATTACTGCTCTCTACAAGCACCTGAAAGGAGCGGTAGCAGGGGAGGTTTAGATTAGATACTAGAAAAAATTTCTTCACTGAAAGGGTAGTTAGGCATTGGCACAGACTGCCCAGGGAAGTGGTGAAATTGCCATCCCTGGAAGTGTTCAAAATGCATGTGTGTAGCACCAGGCCTAGTGGCAACCACGGGGGTGATAGGCTAACAGCTGGACTCAATCTCTTTACAATCTTAATGTTTGTAAGTATCATCAGTCTGAGTTTTGATCTTCAATAACAAGAAGTGATCTTCAAGGTGTTCTCATCTAACATAAATCTTCTTGATTTCAGAAATGCTCTTGATTTCAGAAACGCTCTTTTCCATGCTTGTCAAAACCATGCCATGCACATTGAAAAGACACACAAGCCCATATATGAGAAATGTTTATTGCTAGTATAGGAAAGAAGTAGATGGAGTCTATTAATTAACAGGTTTTTCCTTAGAATACTCTCTTCTCCTTTCAAAATGAATGAGACAAATCACAATAAACCAAACTTTATTCAGATGCTTAAGACTGCTAATCACATTTTTATTTTCATATTTTATCTTCTAGGATCTGCTTTATAATGTCCAACAGTTAAAAAAACTCTAATATTAGTTTTATGATGACTACAAGAGAGAAAGGAGCCAAGGCTCTTGCCAACATACAAGCATTCTGTTGTTTACAAACACTGCCCAAATAGTTTTTACCTCGTTTATATCTCACTTTGAATACTCTTGCAAAAATTATTTTCAACTGTTGCTGTTTCTAAGAGCAAGCCTATAGCCACTTATAACAAGTACTGCCCAACTGCTGTACTGGTTTCCCTTTTCCACACCAGACTAAGATCCTTGCCTTTACTTTTACCACAAAATTTCTGAATAATTAAGTGGTAAGAAGTGCTTTGTCCCATGGCCATTTAGCCAATGACATCATCACAACTTAAGCTCTCACTTCCTTCTACAACTTTCTGCAGATCTACCATTAAGATCTGACACACTGCAAAACTACAGAAAAAACAGTATTTCTAAAATTTTCCTTTAAAAAGATGCGTTGCTGACAACTATGTCAAATTAACAACATTAAGACTGTCAATATGATTAGACTGCTGCCTCTGCAAATGTACAACACATTCTAGCTTGGCAGCCTTGTATTCCCTTAGTCCGTGATGATCCTTTTGCATATTTCCTTATTTCTGGGAACAGGGGAAAATCTCCTTCTCAGAAGATACAAAGCACAGAAACATTTTGCTTCTGTTGCTCTAGGTACAGAGTAACACAAATGTCAGCATCTGTATTTACACTGATTAGACCTGCTTCACAAGGATAATCACTGAACTTGTTTTCAAATTTATTCCTTGAGTGTTTCACAGCATTACTTGCCATGTAATTAAATAAAAAATGAAGCTATTTCAAAAACATTTGAAAAAATAATAAACAGAATTCTAAATCCATCCCTTTTCCTTACAAAAGCTCAATCCCCCCCATCCACTGGAAGCAGCATTGAAAAGCAGGCATTTTGACAGAAGACAAGCATTAGACTTCCTCTTAAATGCACTAAAATGCATTTATTGCTCTTCTGTTCCACTTTCAGACTCAAAATGCTACCAAAATCTTTTAGTCTGTAAGTTACATATTGTTAGTCTATGTCCCTAGTAAATGAATTAGTCAGCTTTCTTGACAAGACTCAGAATTATTTTTAAATGCATCACTATCATCAGTATAAACTGGCTAGTGGTGAATCTGGCATCACAAGTTCAGTGGCGTTCCACTGCTACTTTAGATAAGCACTCTGTAGGCTGCCATAGCAGTGGAAAACTTTCCCTAGTTTGCACCAATTAAACCCCTCCTCTCTACTTCTTCCTCAGCTTTTATGTGCCAGAGTTTTCTCAATGTTTTAGTCAAAACAACTTATGAAATACTTAAAGTATTTCAGGCTTACTTCAACTCAAATGGGTCAGGAAACATTCCCATGAGAGCAGACAGCAATTTTGAAGGTTGGTAATCAGAAGCACTAACCTCTCCACTAGTACAGTTAAGTTATACCCAGAAGACATCACAGTTTAACTTACCCTTCTCCAGGGACAAAAGTTATACAACTTTAATTGTCCTAGTAGGAGGTTCCTATTAATAGTATTTTTAAATATCATACCAGGGTAGACTAAGGACTTTAAAAGTAGAAAAGTAGTTGCAGGAAGTATATTTCTTTATGTTTCAATGCTCAATTTGATATGACAACATCTCTCATTTTATTATATTAGACTGTTCGTGTAGCTGCCTCACTATCAAGTGCCTTGATTCTGATGTAATATCCTTGAAATGAGTAAGAACAAACCACATCAGCATGAAGACTGTCAACTTTACTTTTTGTTCTTTTATCAGTGTGCTGGTTTTGGCTGGGGGAAAGTTAATTTTCTTCGCAGTAGCGGATATGGGGCTGTGTTTTGAATTTGTCATGAACACAGGGCTGATAATACAGAGATGTTTTTATTTCTGAGCAGTGCTTGCACACAGACAAGACCTTTTCTGCTTTTTGTGCTGCCACACTGGTGAGGAAGCTGGAAGTACATGGGAGGTGGGTGGCAGATACAGCCAGGACAGAAAGGTATATTCTGCACCATATGACATCATGCTCAGTATATAAAAATGGAAACAGGAAGAAGGAGATGGAGTGATGGCATTTGTCTTCCCAAGGAACTGTTACACATGATAGGGCTCTGCCATCACATCAGATATTCAGCCAGCAACCTGCCCTGGAGACGGCTGAACACCAGCTTATCAGCTGGATACAGTGAATTATTCCTTGTTTCAATTTGCTTGTTTGTGTGGCTTTTGCTTTCCCTCCTGAACTGTCTTCATCTCAACCCACGAGTTTTCCAACTTTTACCCTTCTGATTCTCTCCCCAGTCCCACTGGTGGGGGAGTGAGCAAGTGGCTGCCTTGGGTTAAACCACGACACACAATAAAGACAAACACAGGAAGGTCAACATGGCCTTTTAAGAAAGCTCAAAAAGTTAATATAATAGAAAACTAACTGCAAAAGAAGAAGAAATAATCTCTCTGTAGTCATACTGCTTCAGTACTGAAGGATTTCAATACACCTCAAAGTCAACTAAGGATTTTAGCTCAGGTCATCACATTGGGCTTACAGGTATTCTGTACCTCAAAATGGAAAATAGTCCTCACTTCCATTATCAAACTAATCATATACTAATTAAGAATTCAGCATAGTTTGTGCCAAAGTTGTTTAATAAACTCCTACACATGAAATAGAATGCACTTAATGATCCCTCTGTGATTAAACATGCCTGAGTTAGTGCTTAAATAAGTTAAGGAACTCCCCAAGATTTCTTTATACTTGAGAGCAGTTTTCTGCAATGCTTTATAGATAATAAATTAAGCTAAGGAATTCAAACACATTTGTGAAACAAATGATGTTACCGTGCTCTGTGCTTCATACAGGAAAATCTTGATGAACATGGCAAGCTAAATGAGCTATTCTTGGATTATTGTTCTATAAACCACACTGTTCAAGAGGGTAGAACAGCTGGCAGATTTAAAGGAGTAAGATTATCAATGAACTGAGGAATACTTATGTAACCCTTGGCACCCAGTTAGATACTGTTTTTTAAATTTGCACGAGATCAAGATTTAGATAGCGCATATCTAAGAGAAAAGTAACAACATGAAACTGAAGCAGCTGGATCTGCAGGCAAGCAAGGGAAAATTAGATGCTTGCAAAAGCGTAAGAGAGTAATTAAAAGGCAAAGAGATACAGAAAGAGATGCATTTGTAGGCATGCCTGTGCAATTAATTTAGAATCAGTGCTCTCACTATCCTTTCTTGTAAGCAAGTGCTACAATGGAAGGAAACATGAGAAAATAATGACTAGGATAAATTTTCAGGTGACTAACAAATAATTTTTACAGTTTGGGTCACCAAAAGGATAGTCCCACTTTTAGGCCTTGGCTTCTGCTTCTTTTATCATGGTATGTATAGAGCCTGCCCC